GACTGAATTCGTTGAAGCATCTGTATGGATCTGAATATAACTGTATTGGAGACTTTCATTATGGGACTTAACTATATGTGAACTCTTCTTTGTTCCTCTTTTCTAGTGATGTAAGATCAATCAGCTTTTTTCAGAATGTCAAAAGTCATTTCAGTGTGGTGTTTTAATTGATTGGTAATATTTTTATTATTAGACAAGAGAAAATAAGTTCCTGGAGATTGTGAAGAAGCCCTTTAGCTTTTGCCATCAGGTGTAAAGTTATTGTGAGCAAAATCCAGCTGATGTGTTGAAGGCTTCTGTCTGGCTGTTATTAATCAGTGTCTCGCTCAGGTTTATGCAAATACAGGTTAAAAAGAACAAACAATTCTTCATAAAACATAACATTCTGTCAGGTACATACAGTGTTTAAAATATTAATTTTCCCTTTTCGTAAAAGAGAGCACAGAACATGTGATGTACAGAGCAGTTTGTTAGGTACACCTAACAGTCCAAGGCCATAATGTTCAGTTTGTGTTGAACTGTTGATTGAGGTGTTAAGGTTCTGATTAGAACCATAAATTTTCATATCTGTGGTCAGTGAAAGGGGAATAACACCTAGGCTACTAAAAAATTACCAATGTTATAGTAGTTTCCGAAGGATAATAGCACAATGTTAAGTTCAATTATGGGATTGAAGATTTATTTGCACACATTTAAGTCTAATTTGTCTTTAACTCAAAGTCGTTCCTCTGCCTGAGCAGGCTGTGGAAAACTTTCTCAGGGTAAAGGAAAAAGTTTCTGTTCCTCTCCAGGTCCTGAGCATTTATAATACGAGTCACCAAAGCTTCTTGTATGGCTGGAGACTCACAGGGGTGGTGCTGCACATTGTGACTCACATTGCTCCATGACTCAATGACCAACAGGCCTAGCATGCCGACATCCTCCTCCCTGCTAAATCCAGTTGAATTGCTGTTTACCATACCTACAGTGGTTTCATCACTTCCTTTTAACACATTGACTCCAAAGTCTTCTCTGGATCCACTTGTTTTACAGCTTCTGCCCATTTTAGCAGTTGAATTTGGTGCAATAGTCTCATTAAATCTATCAGTTGAGATACTCACAGGACCGACCTGGCTAACATTTAAAACAGAATTACTTGAGCAGGCCATATTGGTTACGCTAGATGTGTTAGTTTGTCTCGGCCCGCTGGCTGTCCTGGTTTTGGGTTTTCGTGGACCTGGAGCTGCAGTCTCCTGGATGTTTCTGCGTAGATAGGCTGTGTAGCCCTGAACCAAACGACTTAACCCCGTCTTATAGGACAGACGCAGCGACTCTGCTGTTCCTAATGGCACAGAGTGCAGCCGGACCTGTTGGAATAGAAATAAAAGTGATTTCAGATCAGCTCAAATCTCTAGGAATCCTGTTCATATTGGATGATAAGCACTTCGTGACTGGACAGTCATGTACTAGCATGTCTGGCTTTCATGCAGAAGGCTTTCTTGCCATTAGTATTTGACCACCTCAGTCTTTCCATAATCTTAAATCTGCAATAATTGATTTGTCTGATGACTTAAGGGTGTAAACAAGTTGTGAACACAGCATTGACATACGATCACCTTTTAAGTTTATACGACAAAGTAGTCAGCAAGCAGTTGCTTATTAACACATTTGGCAGTTGCAAAGCAACATTATCATTCATTTGGAGTTGTGTTTGGATCCACCTGATGAATCTAAGTCTAATATTCACTCTCTTCACAAATAAAAACATTCAGTTTAACCTCAAGTTTTTTTTTCTCTGTGCTGACCTGGTGGATTCTCATGTGCAGATGAAATGCAGCTCCTGTCACCCACTGCTGCATGGACACTGAGCTCATTCTCTTCTTAGTGGTCATCCTCTCATAGTGGTCAATCAGCTCCAGTTTCAGCCAGCTGTCATAGAGCTCTGTAGTCTCAGCCATCTTCTCTTGGTTGTTGGCAATGCCAGGGACCAGGCTGAGGTAGTTGTGGATGAGCCAGCCAATTCTTGAGGAGCTGCTGATGCCAAAAATCCTCTTAGCCTGGGATCTCTGAGTTGATAGGTCCCCCTCTGTTGATCCTTGTGTTCGGACCTGATGAGATAACAATAAATTGAAATATTTCTGAGTCTACTCCAGCGTAAGCTTATTAACACTGCAACACTTGTAGTAATATATTGTATTGTATGATTTTTACTGCACTGTAAAAACCAAGCAAAGAAAAGAAAACCAATACCCATTTGCCTCTTCCTATGAGGATCTCTCTTTGGCTGTAGTAACTTGGTAACAGGAGTAAGGAGTCTACAGCTACACTGGGGGCTGTGTGAGGCTGTAATGCTCACTGTAAATATAACCTAAGCAAATTATTGGACAAATTGAAATTTTGACCTGAATATGCTGCCAGATGAATAATCAAAGGATCACCAAAGTAAACAAAGATTGCAATCAATCCAACAGTTAAAAATTTCCCTAAAAACAAATATTAACCTCAGAGTGGGGCTAGAAGAAAAGTCATTGGGGTACCAAAGTCAGTACAGGCTTCAGCTGATTTCAGAAAAACTGCATGTTTTGTAACCAGTAGTCAACAAAGACATACACACACCAGACACAGAAAGCTTTACCTACTTGTTGGGCAACCTGGTCAAAAAGCATGGACAGAGCCAGAGCAACAACACCTACTCCTCCATAGGTGACCTTGCTGCTCCCTCCTAGCTCTCCAGTCAGGCTGAGGCTGAATTTTGCCTGCTGCTCCCTGCTCATGCTCCGCTGTAAGAAGGCATATTGATGCTGCAGCGCTGCAGAGGAGTCCAGTGACAAGAAGGTGGTGAGGACCGGATCCAGGGAGATATCAGGGATGATGCTGGCGTCTCGAGCCACAGAGAACAGCTCCTGGACGGTGGCTGGAGAAGGAAGACACAAACTGCGACCCATCAGGATCATGGTTATATCTGTCTGTCTCACCAGTGTGTGTCAATATGTGTATGTTTGTGAGGCAGGTCTGCTTGTTATCTGTGTTTCTGACCCTCTGTGTGTTTATTTGCCCCTGTCAAAGGGACATTATCAGCACAACCAGTCCAACAAAGAACTCTGCATATAAATACAAATTCACAATGCATCAGCTAAAATTAAATGAGGCTTTATACAGTTGTTAAAGAAACATCAACCTTATTTTCCTGCTTGGGCAGGGCCAGTGGTGGTGAAAATACAGTTGTTATACAGGTTTCATTGAATGGTCATTTATTTGGTATCACTTTCTCATAAGGCACAATTTATAATGGGTTTATAAGGTGTAATTAATGCTATTAATGGTTAATAAATCATTTACTAATGCTTTGAAAAGCAGTTATAAACCACTTCAGCATGACACTTTTAATTCATCAGGGAGACCTCTCCAATGGCCTTCCCCTGGGGAAAAGGGCTGCAGGACATCTGGACCACAAACCATTTATATAAACATATTCTATGTCCCCTGCCAAAGGCTGAAAGTGCAAATTTTATTTGAAATGTGGCTATATAGCATAAGACACTGTCCCATGAAAAATCTGCTTCAGAAGTGTAATGATGTTTTTTGTGGTATCTTAAAAAAGAGCAAAATTACTGAACAAATATCACTGCCTCAACAACCATATAATAACCACCTGTTTAAAAGTCAGTGCAGCTTATAAATGACACTGAAGTCACAGCACTTTTTGTAATCAAATTGGCATTTAGACTTAGACACAACCACTGAACATTAACCTTAATGTCAATACGCAAGCAGTCTGCAAGGGACAGACTCTGCTGGCCCTTCAGCAAACTCCACTTCAAAAATATATGATGTCTAGACACAACCTCAAAGCCTCTGGTTGTCTAACTGTAGCTGTTGAAATGTTGAAAACCATGAGTCCATGTGCAATAGTTTAAATACTCTAGACTATGTATTTGGCCTAACTGTTGTAGCCTACATTTTAAAAGCACTTTAAAAACAATACACCTGCATCTTGTGCTGAATTTTATATCATAATATTATTACTTTAATGGTAGTAGCAAAATATTTAATGCTGTATTATATTTCATTATAAGATTATATTATTTGTATTACGTATTTCATTCTGTTATATATGGTATCACAGTATGTTTATAATAGTATGTCAACCTCAAATCCAGTTGCCTTTGACTCCATACAACCAGTTGTTCACAAGATTTGATATTATATTCTATATCACAGTATTTTTCTGTGTAATGGCCTTTACAAGAATATAGTACATGATGTAAAATACAATAGAATAAATATGAATATTATACTGCAATATATTATGAGCGATTTAGTTTAGTTTAGTTAGACTATGTACTGTATATGTACTACCATCTCTATAAATAGAGTAACTTATTATCCATGAAATAGTTATTGCAGCACTCTTTGTAGGCTACTGCTTCGCACACTCATAGTAACAGTCTGACCTGAACCAATGCAAACCAATCTCTCTTTGACTTTCAACCACATCAACAATAATGTTGTCGCAAAAAATAAAAATGATTGTTGAGTAACTGTTGGTGTTGTGGCAAGATTTTAGGGTTAAAAATGTATTGATTCCATTAAGTCAAATAGGAAATCAAGGTTTAAATGTCCCACCCTTCATTCAAACGATGTGGCACTTACCTTGTAAAACACTAAATGTATGTATTAATATAATTTATATGTAATATCCTTGCCCACTGTGATGTCAGTCTGGTTTTGTTTGGATTTGACCCTACCGTACTGCTCCGTACTAACTCGGCGATCTCCGTCGGTCACATGACCCTGATTTTGCGGTTTGGGGGGTTTGCCACATGACGACATTGATCAATCCTGGAAAATTAGTCCTTGATGCCTAGGTAAACAGCATTCCTTTGTTTAAAAAAAAAAAAAAAAACTCCGTGTCATCAAAAAAGTTTATCTGCTTTGAGATCATAAATTTAATAAATTCCTCTAATCTCGCTGTTAGAGACTATCGCGTTGTCGCCAAAATGACGTCAGTGTACTGACCTAGACAGTTTGGTCTTCACGCAGAGGAGGACTGTTCCTGCTTCAGGTCGGTGAAAACAAAACTGGTGAGTACCAAAGCAGACACCAGGCACATGCCATGTTAAAGCACAATATTAGTGATCAGACTGTGAGCGTTATTTTCTTGGCGAATTACTTCTTTGTTATTGCTGATTACAATGCTGCGACCTGTTTTTAGCTAACTGACCTACAGACAGACGAGAAATGCAACGAAAACCTTGAATAACTGAGTAGAGACGCATAAGGAGTCATGGTTTCTGTCTTCATACCGGGTAGGAGAGCTCACTGGATGATCTAATCTGATCTAAAGTATTAAAACGATGTGAATTATATGCTATGGCCTTCACAGTCACCAGATCTCAACTAAATTGGACACCTATGGGGAGAATTTGGCGTAGCAGTGCTCTCCAATAATCCAAACACAAAATCAGTGAATATCTGTTAAGACCAGTGTTTATCCCTGCAGTATAGATTCAGATAATCAGATTCAGATTTCGATCTGGGCAAAGTGTGCAACTGTCCAGTTGCCCCAGACTTCCAGGTGCCCCCTAAAGTCCCAGGTTAACTTCATATCATTAGGGTCTACATGATTTGATTAATTGCAAAGGAGAATATCAACTACGACAGGTTCTCCATCCCCCATCTTATAGTCTTGTCTTGTAGAGAGGCAAGAAAAAAAGTAGTTTTAAGATCTTCATTGTTTTAGTTTCTATTGAGTAAAGTTGTCTTTTATCTGTTTTTGATTTCTACCAATCCTGAGATAAATGTCTTTATCTTTACCTGCTAAATATGTTCACCAGAAATGTGCTTATTCTGTCTGCCTTCTGTTTGGTGCTGAGCAGGTATTGTACATTGTATTTTTAAAAGCTTTTTCTCTGAAAATAGCTGCCTGATATAAAGTTTTGGTGTTTATTTTTAAATAATTTTTTGCTTGTTCAAATGATCACAAACTAACACACTGAAAACCTGAGGCTGTGCATTCCAGCATTGCAAAAATGTTACGTTTCTGGGACTCTTCAAATTGGATTGTGTGCTCAATCAGGGACTACAGCTCACTTATCCCCCGAACCCTTTAGTGGCATAGTCTGTCCCTGAGTCTGACTTGAACATTGGAAGGTGTCATGTTAGCAATTTATAATCATTAATGATACTAATAATAATAATGTATGAAAGTGACAAAACATGGAAAACAAGATATTGTAAAATAAACATAGCAAGGAAAATGGTCATATCTGAAACTGCAGGTTGTTTAAATATCAGTGAAGGAAGATGGATTAATAGTAACCCATCACAAGTTTACATATACACTCAAAAGAGTTGCATTATGGGGAATAAAGGTTTTGGACCAGTAAACATGTAAAAGACTAAATATTAGGATATCTTGGCTCTTGCTGTTTCTATTACAACCACTCTTTTCACCATCTGTCTATTGCAAGTCTCTGAACTTTATGGAACTGCAATACTTATATAATCATTTAAGTGTCCCTTTATTCATCACTGTATAAGGACGGTTAAGGTTCAAGGTTCATCTTTATAGTCATACAATACAGGATTGCATAATACATTTATAGCCACCTTCTTGCTACACACACAGAAAATGTACAAACAAATATTGAATACAATAAAATAGAAGTGTCATTAGTCACTGTCTATAGTTTCATTTCCAGCAGACAACCTAACATTCACTGACATGATATGGAAAGGCTGCATTTTGTCTGTTAGGCTCGTGTACAATGCACACTGAATATGAACTGTGTAATAATCTGAGAGCGTCATAAAATCTGTGTGTGCAGGCCGCAGCGTAGAGATCAGTCTGTTCAGCAGCGCATACAAATCCACTAATAAATAAGATGATGAATTTTTCATTCCAGGTTGTCCAGCATTATGAGTCAGCGGACGGAGCGACGGGGAATACATGTGGACCAATCAGACCTGCTTTGCAAAAAGGGATGTGGTTACTACGGCAACGCAGCATGGCAAGGTCTGTGCTCCAAGTGCTGGAGGGAGGAGTACCAGCGGGTACGGCAGAAACAGATCCAGGACGACTGGGCCTTGGCAGAAAAGTAAGAGCTTTACTAGCCTGCACCTTCAGTAACTGGGTTTCAGAATTTTCCATCAAAAAGTCCAACGCCTGGTAAAGAAAGGTTTGCCTCTGGATGAAATTATCTGCATTAGTAGATATACTGTATCAGGTTTTTTTAAGACTTTGTATCGTTGGTCAAACTAACTAGACTTATATCAAAATTAACAGCCATGTCTAAAATATTTGTTTGTGCTCAGTTCATTGCTTTTTCTATGATATCAATACTTCATTAAAATTTTAGTCTGCATATTGTGAAAACATGATACAGCAACTGCAGCTTTGAATATGGTAATCAGTCAGTATCATTCAGGCTCTTGACAAAGGCGAACAAAGTGTGTCAGCTCTTTCTACTGATTTATCCAATGCTTTTTATTCTGTGGGCCAAAATATTTTAATATCTGAGTACCACTTGAAGCACACGACCGCCAATTAGCTGGCTTTTTCCCTTTATATAATATTCTCATCAAATAAATCAGCTCACCCAGTTGAGGAAAATTACATAGCTATAATGTCATGCCCAAAGACATGTCAAATTGCTTTTTTTAAATTAAGTTTTACATCACTGCACATTTTCTCGTTTGCTTTGGCACCATCCTGGAATGAAAAGCTTCATTTGCAAAATTCTCAGTTCTGAGAACAGCATATGCATTTATTGTTGCTTTCACATAAAATCAAACTGAATATGTAAAAGTATCTTTTTGTGCTCATCAGTTATACCTGTAGCATAATAACTCTGTATGCAAGAACAACTTTGTCAGCGACACTGTATATTAATTTGACAAAGTATGGGGACTCTAACTGCAAATGTTGGTCACTGACATATCAATTTTTCCTGGCGCTAGGTTGCAACGAGAGGAGGAGGCAGCATATGCCAGTAGTCATGGAGTGCAGACTCAGTCCCACGCCCAGTCCACACCGCCACACCCAGGACACGCCTCTCTAGGACCCTTCTCCAAGTTTGAGGAGAAGAAAACCAATGAGAAGACACGAAAGGTCACCACAGTTAAGAAGTTCTTCAGCCCTTCATCACGCAGTGCTCCCAAGAAAGGTATGATGTTAAACATACAACTCAGACACATTTTAACATGTCTCAGCAGGAAAAGCACAAATGTAAATAATAAAATGAATGATGGCAGAATTCCATTTAGCTATGTGCTTATGTAAATAATCTCTCATTAAAATGAAAAAAAAAAAATCTTTAAATTAGGCCCCATTGTAGCCAAAAGTATTTCTTTCTCTAAATGTGGTTCCTCCTCATCAGAAACCCAAGAGGGCAAGACAACCAGTCCGTCCATAAGCCGCCACGCCAGCTTCGAAACGGACCAAGTGTCCAGGGATTTTGTGGACTTCTTGAAAAACCTCCAGAAGCCCGGCCGGGAGATCCATAAGCAGTGTCGAGCCTTCATAGTGAACATGTCCAGCAAGAAGGTCTGTTGTACTCAGAAATCTAGTGGCATAATAATAATCTTTATAATGATAGTTTAACCGTGAAACATTTTCATGACCAGGGCATTATTTCCTAAAAGCATTTTAAGACTAAGATGATCACAAAATTGATTTTCTGCTTTGGGAATCATGTAGGAAAAATTTAAGAGTGTTCATAGAAATGCTCTTAGAAAACCCACTAAATTTCTAAGCTCAATCATTATTGGGAAACGGGGCCGAGATCAATATCTTGCTCAGCGCTGTGTGACCTTCTAACTTCTCGTCTTGGCAGGATCTCAGTGCTGAAGAACTTTCGGAGTGCGTTCAGGATTTCTACCAGGGCATGGCTGACCGCTTGATGAGTCATTTTAAAGGTTGGTTCAGAGAAGCTTCTTTCGTCACGTCGACCGCATTCAACAATTATGTCCAGAAAGAATGAATAAGTCCTCAATAAATCTGAATTCGAAACTCCATCTCATTTCATGAACCTGTTCGTAGCTAGACTGATAAACCCAGAGTTAACGGAGCCAGATGATAGCAACAGTTCACCTGGAGTGTGAGGCTGTTAGTGAGGCCAGGTCACCCAAAGAGAGACACTCTAAACTGAACTCGTACTTGTGACCACACTCGGCTGTGATGTTTTGTACTGCACAAGGTGTGGACACAGTATGTAGCACACACTAGATGGCAGCACAAGCAGATTTTTTTTTCACTTAGGTGTTTAAATTTGGAACTACAGCTCTAACCAATGTTACTCTGATAAATTGATGTTCACCAGGCTCTTCAGATTCTGTGGAGCAAGTGATGGACCAAGTGGAAAAGTACATCATGACTCGTCTGTATAAGAGCGTGTTCTGTCCAGAAACCACTGATGATGAGAAGAAGGATCTGGCCACACAGAACAGGATAAGGTGGGCGTCCCTGGATCCAAATCATAATAATAATAATAATAATATATATAGAGTGAGAGTGAGGGCCCGGAGTGGAACAATGCACACATATTCAGACTGGATACAGACCGGTTTTAGTGTTACATTTAGTGGAGGAATTAGAAAGCATCACTGCACAACGCTTCTCTTTAATCTGCTGCAGTCTGTGAAAACTTCTGTATGAGTCTGTTTTTGCAGTTGATTACACAATGACCATTTTTAGCAGCTTTCTCCATGTTTTTCTTACATGTGAATGCACAATGGCAGCTGTTAACTACACTTGGTTGTCGCCCTGGGGGAACTGACTGTAACAAATGTGTATGGTTACATCATATTGCCCCCAAAAAAGAGAAAGCTTTAGGCTTACTCCAGTGAACACTAATTAGATTCTTTGTGTTTCAGGGCTTTACACTGGGTGACCATCCAGATGCTTTGTGTTTCCATGGATGAAGAAATCCCTGAAGTCTCTGAGAATGTGGTGAAAGCAATAACAGGTCGGAAAGCATGCTTGAACTTACAGTGTGACTGCAGTTAATTAAAGTAAAGCTAGGTCATATTTTCTGCTACAGTATACATATTTGCAAAGTGCTGCACAATGTGTCATGTTCACCCAAAAACATACTCTGCTATTGGGGTGGAGGCAGAAATCTCAGAGACGAATATCTCAACAAGATAAAAATATAAAAAAGTATCTCTGACTCACACAGATATCATCGAGATGGATTCAAAGAGGGTTCCTCGAGACAAACTTGCCTGCATCACACGCTGCAGTAAACACATCTTCAGTGCCATTAGGATCACCAAGAATGAGCCGGCCTCCGCTGACGACTTTCTCCCTGCACTCATTTACATTGTGCTCAAGGCTAACCCTCCACGACTTCAGTCCAACATCCAGTACATCACCCGCTTCTGTAACCCCAGCAGGCTGATGACTGGAGAGGACGGATACTACTTCACCAATCTGGTCTGTTTTTTGTTATTTTTGAGCTGGAGGCCTCTCGTTTCACAGTGGTACTCAATGTGCAAAGCCAGTGGCTAATGAGACTGAATAAGCTGATTAAAAATGAGCTGCGCATCATCTTTTAATAAGTAATGGGATCCTACATGAACTCACTATTTTCTGAAAAACTTTAAACAGTTTTGGTCATTTCACATGAGAGATTTGTTTATTTCAGTTAGGAAAATGTGACATCACATACTTCCATGCACAAATCAGAATTTGGCAACATTTGAATCAGAGGAGAGTTGCAGCAACTAGTCGATCAATCGATTATTCGATCAATGAAAGTAAAAAAAATTACCTATTTTGATAACTGATTAATCATTGTAATCATTATTCAAGCAAAAATTCCAGACTTTTGTGGGTTAAAGCTTCTTGAATGTGATGATTTGCTGCTTTTCTATATCCTATCTGACTGTAAACTCAATATTTTTTCGATTTTTGACTTTTTTGGTGGATAAACCAAGCAATTTGAATACATCATCTTAGACTTTGGGAAATTATAGTGGGCACCTTTTGCTATTTTGTGACATTTTATAGCCTTTGAGCGAGCTCTGAGAGGTGCTGGTAGGCAGAATTTGTTACTTTTGGTCATAGTCAGGCTAGCTGTTTTGAGTCTTTATGCTAAGCTAGGCTAACCAACTGCTACCTTATTTTAAAAACCAGGTATGATACGAGATCTTCTTGTCACTAGTTATAAGCAAACTATATAAATATGGCCTATTTTCCAAAATGTCAAGCTATTCCTTTAATACAAAGCCATCTGGCTCTGTTTGTCTCAGGTTGATGAAAACTTGCTGTCAGTCGCAGGCATAATTTTCACTTGGTGTGTCCCCTGTGTTTTTTTTTAGTGCTGTGCAGCTGCCTTTATCGAGAAGTTGGATGCTCAGTCTCTCAACCTTTCCCCGGAGGAATTCGAGCGTTACATGTCAGGCCAAGCTTCACCTCGACTCAACAGCTCAGAAGGTGACTGGGCCCAAACTGGCTCAGCACTCAGTGTTACTGCCACCAACCCAGTCCTGGCTCAGCTCAATCACAATCTGGAGCTGCTGTCGGGCCTCAGCAGCAAGCAGGAGAAGCTGATGGAGGCTGCCCAGAGCCTGCAGGCCGACCTCCTCTCCTGGCCCGAGAGTGTGGAGCGGGAGGTGCACGACATCCTGGAGAAATACCCTCTGGAGATTCTGTCTTGCACAGTTTCTGCCATTGATGCCAACAACGTGGACAACGACAACTTGCCACCACCCCTTACACCCCAGGTGTTTGCTGGTTAGTTTGACATACAGCAAAGGTACTAATGCTTTAAAAGTCAGCTCCTTGCCTGTGTTTTGAGTTTGATGGTAACATCCTGTATGCACAAATCTCATGAATAGTTTGAAGCCTCATCTTGCTGTGCTTCTCCTGCACCTTAAATGCCCAGACTGCGTCTGAAAGCACTCCCTATTTAATATGTGGTGCACTATATTTACTGCCCACCATTTCTTTTATTCTGCACAGTACAGAGAAAATAGAAGGAAACTTGGGGAGCTATTGTCTCTAGCCCCTTTTACACTGCCTGTTCAAGGCAGGAATGTTGCGCCTTTATTGTGCTTGTATAAAAGGTACAAACAGAATGTGGCGGGTCACTTCTGTTCCGCCTTTAAGCCGGCAGTTGAAGTAGTCACATGTGTGTAAAAGATAGAATGGGCATTGTGACAGATGCTGACATGCTGTTGTGTTACGTCACACATTTGATTCCTGAACGCCGGCATGCTATCTAAAATCACACACTTAGGGCAGCATTATGTTGGCTTTGTTGGTTCAGTGTAAACAAGTAAAGGCGGCATAACAAGGTGTCTTCTTAATGGCAATATAGCGGGATCTCTGTGTAAAAAGGGCTACTGACTAGCACTAGCATCTTAGCTGTTACCCACCAGCTACAGTAGTTCACCAACGAGCACGACAAGGGTGTAACTGTATTTACTGTCTGAAAAAAAAAAAGCAAATTATTCTATCTTGTAAGTGTGTTGGGTGTGAAAAAAAATACTTGACTAAACTACCTAAAAAATAAAGTGCAGGTGGTGTTAGCCTGTTGGAGACGCTAACATTTACGTTAGTCCTGTAAAAGCTATATGAAACAGATTCTAATATAATATATCCGTTGGAATAAAGCTGAAAACATAAACCTCTTGTTATTGACAGGTTTTGATTTTAGTGAATTATGTGTGCCTAAGTTCTAGGGATGGGCACGAGTACTCGAGTACTCACCGTTGACCTCATTATTCAAGTAGCGTTTCACTACTCGTGCACCTGTGCACGTGTTGTTTTTGGCTACATTAGTTCAACTCCGATTGTGTTACGTGTCACCATGGCAGCAGTGACTAGGGAAAGTGATGTCGGGAAATACTTTGATTAAAAAAAAAAGACAACAATAACGTGCAGTTCAAGATATGTGGCGTTAAACTTGCATATCATGTTCTCCGACAGCCAAACAGTAGGCTTGGTCGGGGAGGTCGGGCACGGACCTCCCATATTTAGTTTTTTACTGTAAAAAAATACATATATAATTTACAAGTAATCGAGTACTCGTTCAGAAGGTAATGAGAGTACTCAAATATTGAAATTACTGAAAATGCCCATCCCTACTAAATTCAAAACATATTTTTTCAGTATTTTTTAGCCTCTTCCCGCTCAGGATAAAAAACGTAGCGGTACGGTTATTTCATTAACAAACACAAAATCACCACATACAACAAGCTAATCTTTAATAGCTGACAAATGTTTAATGGCAGCATTGAATCAAATTCTGTTGTATTATTTTTTTTACACACTTTGCTAATGTCAAAATGCTAATGGTAGCTAGTTACAAACATCTTGTAAAAGACTGAAGATAAAGTTATATGCCCAGTAGATTTCACTCTTTGTGTGACTTTCTTGGACTTTTACTTCACTTATAATTCTGGTGCTAAAACATGTTCTACAGCAAGTACTAACATCTGTATGTGGTGATGTGTTTCTGTCTGAGGCCAGTTTGACTTGTCAATATAGTAACGTAATCCCATTTCTTAGCGTGTTTACTGTTTCACGTGGAGCTCTTTCATATGTCTGTTGTGGAGTCTGGTGAACAGTTGCAAATGAAATCCTGCTGTAACAAATGTAGAAGAAACACAGAGCCACTCTGAAACAAGTCGTATCATTGTCAAGTATCAAGCTAACTTCAAGAGGGCCTTCAGTTTTTATTTTTATTTTTTATAAACACTATACATTTTAACATCATGCTGTGTTTTTAGAATTTTATTGTATTTTGGCCGGCTTTCTGCATAATCACCTCTATAATGAATCGTTGTTAGAATGCAGTAGGCTTCTTATACTACGAATGATGTATTTTAAATATTGATTTAGTTTGTCATTTTGGGATGTACTGTATAATATTAAGTGTAACCACAGGCTGATGTTGTCTGATTGCCTGTTGAAACACTGATGCTCTACTACTGTTTTTTTTTTGCTGTTGATTCATTGGCTTCAGGATCTTTTTAGTACTATCTTATCATCTAGCAGAGCAATGACTGAACATTTAAAAGCTTATAAAATTAGATCACTGTAATTTACCACATTTACACAACTGCAAAGAAAACCACAGCTTCATTTGTCATGTGTGGGTTTAACAAATCTAGACTAGCATGATATTAGCTATCTTAAATTTTACTGTTAGATTTTTTAGCTAACTTGTTTGCATCGGACATTGTTTTTTTATTTTTTTTAATCTAAAATTAAATGATCTGAAAGACCAGTACACTCTTATTTTGAAATAAAGGCACCATGAGTAGAGAGTCTGAACCATGAGTATCAAACACATGATTGGGATTGATGACTTGTCTGTTTTGTGAGTCATTTTTAAAGATTTATGTCTTCCATAGAAACCAGTGAGCTAAGTTGGAGCTGTGTCAGGGTAGACAGGGTAATAACATTCTTGGTTTTGGTCTTTTCATGAGATTGTTGACAGTAAGAAAATCCAGAATAACACAAGCCTGTTCCTTCAAACGTATTCAGAAAATGTGAAATAAAACGCTTCCAAAATCTCAATCATTTCATGTTTATGATATTATAACATTTCATGCAGTTGTTCTTGCTTAATGACAAAATTTCCATCAAATGAAATGATTTTTTTTGAATGTTTTCTGGAAACTACCATCTTCTTTAGACAAAATTAGAAATACAATTGGTAATGCAGTTACAATTTCATGAGTGCCCAAAGGTGGATGATTCTAATTGTTGGAAATTATATTAAAATAATTATTGCATTTTTCATTTGAGTGAAATAAAGAAGACAGTGAAATGAAACATAAATTAATTTAATCTCTTTTTGTGCAGACTGTTTTGAAGTGGTAGGTTAATGGAGAAATACTTCAGACATATTGTGACTCATTCGTTTGTGTTTGGTAAATGTAACAGAGACATAGTTCTCATAATAACTATATAATGGTAATGTCTTTGGAGAAATATGGACCATATGAAAATATATAGGTCAGTGTGGACTGTTGATAAACTTGGTAATGACGGGTGCTGAGTCACATTGTTCTGACAGCAGCAGTATATTGTGAAGAAAAGATGTTGACTGATGGGTATAGTACCCAACTATTTACCTGCACAGTAATCATGAGATAAAAATATTCACTTCAATTACCTTATTTAAAAGCATGTAAAAGTACTACATACTAATTATACAAAACTAATTAAACTCACAGACTTTAGATTACACCCACTCTCTATAAGATACATTACTTAAGCACCATCTGTCGATCACAGCAGACAGCAACAGGTGCCCCAGAAACGACAACACACTCCGACTGCTCCAGTTTTCACGAGGATCGTTTCATTTTCCCTCAAACAAGAACTGGAATGTAGAAAAGTAGAAAGTAACTCGATACATTTACTCAGAGTCTTTACTCAAGTAGAATTTTGAAGTAATTGTGCTTGAGTTTTTTCAGTTTACGGTACTTTATATGTCTACTCCACTTTCAGAAATCCAGACAATACATTTTTCAGGCAGATGGTTACTGACTATTTCTCAGAGTAAGATTTTACACTTTTGGGCTTCTTGTCACACAGAACAAGTACTTTTATTTTGATAGTTTAAGTACATTTTTACTGATCATACCTCTGTACCTTTACTAAAGCAGGATTTTGACTGAAGCACGTTTACTTGTAAGTATTTTTACAATGTAGTGTTCATACTTTTACTTAAGTAAAAGGTCTCAGTACTTTTTCCACCACTGTAAGATTTATGCCTCATGCTGGACGTGATAATCAAACTAAAAATATTCTACATGTACAAAGAAAAAAACCCTCATCAAGTACATAATATGCAATTTACTGTTTATTTATTTTTGATACTGTTAGGTGATGTGAGGGATTTCTGGAGACTGAAATAGTGACTACCGTTCTCCACTAGAGGCCTCCAATGTGCAAAAGTGACTAAATGCAGTTTTAAAGGGCCATTGTCTGAAGTCACTCGGCTGTAAACAGCAAGTCATGGCTTCTTGAGGAATAGCATCATAGACATGTAATACTACCTTAAACAAACATCTATCATTGGGGAAGAATTTGTCATTGGTTTAAACTAGAGTTTGCATCCATTGAGATGTATGTTTTTCTTATAACATTATCATCATACAGTATATACACAATACAAGATAAATAAACTGCAGATAATGTTTATACATGCTTATATATTTCTGAAAAACAAATAATGAAAGCTTTATACATACAGTAAGGCATAGAATATATACAGACCTAACCTAAAGGAATTAGTATCAAACATCTGTCAAATATTCACACCGCAACAAAACAAAGAATTCAAAACGTTTTATAGTATATACAAAAATACTTATGCAAATGCCCCTAGGAATATTTTAATAGAAAAAATAATAGGAATCTCATCAGGAGGACATCACATTATATTTGAAACATGCACTTGCCGCAAAAGGGTTTTCAGTTCAGCGGTGGGCCACATGTCTAGATGTTATGTTGTTGTTTTTGGGGTAACTGTGAATCACTGAGAAAAAGCGGTCATTGGTGCGGGGATACTTGGTCTACTGTGCTCATTGGTCCTCCTTTAGTACCTCAGATTCTCACCTGTGCTCCGCAAGCTTGTGTGGTCATCCCAAGGCATACAGTCCAGTCCAATAATTACATATGGACCTTGAACCTGTCGTCTTTCCCTCCTCTATCACGCTCGCTACACTTTGGACTCGCTCTCTATGTTGGCAATGTCCCCATTCCTCTCAGTCTGCTGGCTCTTCTCCTGGTTGTCCGGGGTGGTCTTGGTCTCCTGACCCTCCTGCTCAGACTCTGGCAGCCCCTGCTGGCTCAGCTTACTGGCCAGCGACCAGGTTAGGGGCAGGCGGGTGCGGCTCGTCATATCAGCCAGCTCTTTGGCACTGCAGGCGGGTGTGTTGGTTTCATAGATGTCGTGGAAGCTGTTGTAGTCCACCTCATAGAAGCCATCCTCCAGTGTCAGGACTGGTGTGAAGCGGTAGCCCCACTTGATTTCACTGCTGACATATGAACTCCTCGCCTGGCACGTCATGCCTGGAGACACAATGCAACATTAAGGTTTGAAAGATTTGGGCCACCTTACAAGGTCAGTGCAGCCAAACTACAAAATACATATTTCCCCCTTTGCTTTCATGGTGTCCACCCATAGTTTTGGTTTTATTTGTCCCAGTTTTGAGATATCTGTCCTGTCCCTTGGATTTTCTGCCTCCACCCTATAGTGCAATGTTTTCAATGGAATTTTGTTTGTGGTGCTCACTGAGGATGTCAACAGGAATAAGTATAATAACTATAATGTTGCCATGGGTTCAGCTCGGCTAAGCTGCCACAGCTTGAGCCCAGTTTTTTAATGGATGCATCTATTTACATTTTGGCAAATTGGCACCATTGAAAGTATGCCAAATTAGCCATTAGCAGTTCCTGTTTACACTGCACCCATGGATGTACAGACAACTATCAATGAATCACTTTGATACTGAAGAATGAAAAGGAGCATCTGTTTTTCCCGGAGTATTAAGTGGATTTATGGACATTATTTGCAATGGACATAGGAGAACATTATATCCTAGGTCACAAAGAATCTAAAAATGTGTGTATCATGCCTCCTTCTTCAGGTTTGGCTGAGTTATGACTTTGAGGAGTATGAATTTTGGTCACAAATTGCAGCACTTTGTTTCAAATTGCCTCCATGAGCTGTGTGGGTTGATCAGCAAGCCACACTACAATAATTAAACTTCCTGTTATTTCAGAACACCTGGACGCACCTGTTCCTCTCACCTCACATAGTATTTTCGCCTTTTGTTTCTCCCTCCAAACTTACATATAGCTCCTTTAATAGGCTAATCACTTCATCTCTAACTTTATACACTTTGTAGTTTATTTTTTATCTCAGTAAAGTACCTAGTAACAATAGCTATAATATTTGACAGTGCCGCAAAAAGTACAAAATTTAGAAATGTTATGAGGTAGAAATATCAAGTGGCATGTAATGAACATACAGTGTGCCTCAAATTTACACACAAATAGAGTACTTGAGTAAATGCACTTAGTTACATTCTGCCTTTTTGAAGCCATTTACATGCGAGTAATTAAATTAGAGCTGAACAAAAAGACTGAAGGTCTAACAAGAAGCGCTTTAAGCAAAACCGTGAACATTTGTACAAAATTTTGTGCCAATCCATCTAGAAGGTATTTCACTGGATAACTGAAAAATTTCCCCTGCTGGTGGCACAACAGAAAAAGTCAGGGGAACACCAAAGTCAGTAGGATTCATCATCTTGAAACCATGAACGTCTGTCTAGTTACAATCTGGAGTAAAGTACTGGTAGTGTGGCTATAAACTCTTCATATGGACCACATTTCCATCCCTAAAAATACTGTGTCATTGTATTGTTTGTTAAATTGACTGAAATTAATTAAAAAAATCAAATAAAAAGACAATACTACTTATTGACATGCTTTGTAATGATGAAGTAGGTCTGTCACTGAAAATGAGGCAACTTTTGTAAATCTGAGGCAATGAAATACAGTAATCATATATTTTCCTTGTGCAACACTGTTCAACAAACAAATCTATTGAATAACAATTGCTGTACACACTATTGTAATCTATGCATCACAAATTAAACATCCTGCCAGAAAGGTGAATCCGAGGACTCACCTGTGGCCTCCACCATCCCCTCCAGAATCACAACAATTTCCAGCTCCTCCTTGGCCAGATGGGCTTGTGAGATCTCCCAGAAGGGGCTGTTCTGATTTATCTCATGGCAGATGATGAGTGGGGACACTAGGAAGAGCCTGTCGTCTCCCGTGTTGTAACCCACATTTATGTCCGTCTGGTTCAAAGGGATGAACTCCCCTTCCTTGGTCTGCTTAGACTTGATAAGCTTGGCCCTGATCGAAGCCTCAACTATGTGCGAGTTTCGGAGGTCTCCGACTCTGAACATCAGGCACAGTCGTCCATCTCTCATTGAGATGACCGCATTGGTGGAAAACACTAGTGTCTCAGCTCGCTTCTTGGGCTGCGAGATCTTAACAAACATGCAACCCACCATGAAGGCATTCACGATAGATCCCAGCACTGACTGAACTAAAAGCAGAACTATCCCCTCGGGGCATTTGTCCGTGATGACTCTGTATCCATAACCAATGGTGGTCTCCGTCTCAATGGAGAACAGAAACGCTGATACAAACCCGTTCAGGTTATTGACACATGGAGTCCACTGATTGTCTGCTATATGGTCCAGATCACCCCGGAGGTAAGCAATAAGCCACCACATGAAGCCAAAGAAGAGCCATGTTACTGTGTACACCAACACGAAGATGAAGAGGTTGAACCTCCATTTGAGGTCCACCAGCGTGGTGAAAATGTCTGTCAGATACCGGTACGTCTCTCGGACATTCCCGTGATGGACATTGCACTTCCCATCTTTCTGGACATACCGCTGGATCTTCTTAGTCCTGTCCATTTCTGCCAGCTGTTTAGGCAGGTCCTCACGGGCCTGCTTTGGCAACTTGGGCTGTCTGATGATGGCTGGGCTCTCCACATCCTGCTCCATGGGGTTTCTAGGTGGATTCAAGCCTATAGGAAAGGAAATGTGACAGTAATTATTAGCAATAGTTTTTTTTTTGCTTTGACTCAAGCAAGTAAAGACGATGGAGCCTTTACAGAGGCTGTAGGCAGTGGTAAGTAACTAGGTGCATTTATTCAAGAACTATTTTAAGTACAATTTTGTGGTACTTGTTCTTTCATTTAAGGTACTTCATACTTCTACTTCACTGTTTCAGAGGGAAAAATTGTACTTTCTATTGCACTACATTTATCTAAGTGCTGGAGTTACTGGTTACTGTGATGATTTTCTCTATACCAACCAGGTGAAATTCTCGAAGAACATTAAAATGCGCCTGAAGTAGTAGTAATGACAATAATAATAATTTTGTCTTCTTTGATGACTTTTACATTACAGAGCCAGATTTGCCAAATTTTTTTTATGGAAGATTTCAAATTCCAAAATAAAAACAAGCAAGTGAAATGCAATACTCATTATAATATGCATTTCCTTTAATGTGCAAATTCCCTATAGCAACCCTTGTGTCATATTTTATTAAAAAACATGTATTGAAAAGAAATGTTTTAGTTTTTTGTCTTTAATAACTGAAGGCAATGATTTCCATACCATGTTAGAATCAAATCATTAAAACATGTCTGGGGTGTTTTCAATTGAATTACCACCTGGTTTTAAAGACTTCAAAATCAGCTATGGAAAAACTGCTACTCAGAAATATTAAAATATCATTTTTACATGAAAATGCTTTGCATCTACAGTATTGTTCCAGGTTGTTGTAGAGACGACTGCCCACAGTGAAACATCTGAAAAACATAAAACGGCTGAATCTCTTCTTCTGTGGCGTCTCTTCAGCTGCCAAACAACAAAACTGCATCACAGACAACATCTGGTAAGGAGTGAGACGGACACACCAGGGGACCACATCATTATTTCATGGTCGGGACATCGTCTGACAAACCCAACATAAACACAGGTTAATGACAACAGCTGTGCTGTATCATCGGCTTTATGGAATACAGAAAAGAGGGAGACAACAGAAAGTTATCTTATTAACTTTGCTGCCACACAGCTCAGCCTCGACAACACACACAACCAGTTACTCTGCCGAGTGACGGCCTCCTGCTCTCTGTGGTCACCTACATGCATAGCTGTTCTCATTTACATATTTTTCCATTTCTGTTGTCCAGCAACTGAACAAGTACAAAACAGTGATTTAATTGCAGCCCATCAACACTACATGTTAACCAGAAATCATTCCCAAGCTGTTGCACTGCAGTAATGAAAATTATTATTTTATAATCACAATGCTGTCTGATAAAATCATTCTAAATCCACGCTAATGACACCAGCTATACTGTGTGTTCAACGTCGCTGGCATTTAAAATGAACAATCACAGAGAAAGTTAAAGTTGTCTTAACTTTAAAGCCACACAATCCATGACCCTCCCTGAGCAGCTTACCTCATCGTTTTGAAAAGCACAGTTTAACACACCGAAACACCGAAGTGGCGTTTTCAGATTTACACACTCTGGAGGCCATTTTAGAAAAGCTCCATTTTGAGGAGAGAAAAATGATGTTTCAGTCTGGACAAGGGGCTGAACCTGAGATAAATAAGATGCTTTTGCATATTTAACAGTTTAATGTGCACATACTCTCAGACTGAGTGGCAGCTAAACAAACATGGCATGCATGCAGATAATATCACAAACAATAAACCTCCTACTCTGCCTTTTTTTTTTTTTCCAGTAGTACACGTGAGTTGAGTCCAGTGTGCAGGTACACGAGTAGCACTAAATAGTTTCAGCATGAAACTGTGCAGCTACAGTAAGGCAGAGGGAGAACATGTTACCACCCACACTGCCAAAAGCAAGCTGCACTTTGTAACAGTAACTCCTGCAGTATCGAGTAGGTGTGTAGCTCTGAATTAAGGTTGTAATGCGTTGTGGGTGCTGGGGAGCTCCTCAGCACCCATGAGGAAATTATTCTGTGAGGTAACCATATCTGAAGAATAAGATAATTATCCAGATTAGTGTCAAAGAAGAGGTTTATTAACTGTGACCTAAACTATGTCCAATTCTATATTTAACTTTCTTGGTGTCCTGACTGTGGTTATGACCACCCTGAGGTCTCGTACAGCGACACAAGGCACATCATTTTGTATCACCTTGTGAACTGCTGCCATCTGACCTAACAAGCACGCAGCAGGTTTCAAACGGAGGCAGTCACAACCAGTATAACAACATGTATAACACATTTTATATTAATGAGGCCACACAAGCTTCCCCAGTAGTTTCCTATGCTATTTTGTGTGGTATCCCATAGTATTCTGTCTGTGTTGATGTGTCGTGTGATGCTGCGGTTTTGACAGGATTTAGACAGCAGCTCCAGCATAAATAAAACACTCAAGTTCAAATGCAGTTTCAAATAATAGCAACACCTTTGAAATAAGACGCGGTATATTTTTAAACTATGTTGCTTTTAAAGCTTATTGTCGTCTTGTTTGGCAGCTCTATTTGTGGCCACAGCTCTCTGTTACTCCATAATTCGTCACACAAATCTTGGGAGAAAAACAAAATGTTAGTACTATATACTACTACTAGGCTATACTACTATTACTACTATACTATATTGCAACTATAGCTTTGAAGACCCCGCAAACTTTTCTGACAATGTAATTAGATGGGGGCTGTGTCCGCCCATTTCAGTCGATGCAACATTCACACCCACTTAATGCCATGTTTAGCCAGCTGCGTGGAGGTGAGAAAGTAAGCTGGTTTTGAAGTGCTCTCTCTAGTTCTTTTTTCAGTATTTACACAACTATTTCAAGTATAAATGTCTTCCAGGGGAGAAAATGTGCACCGTTATCCCTATATTTAAACAATATTGCTTCTCCTGCTCCCTATAACAGCAGGCTTTTCACTTGAGTGTTGCCGTTCAGAGCAGCTATAAACACATTGGATTTTTGCTGTGGTCGGACAACACATCATACAAAGTACTTCTTTTAGAGCATAACTCAAGCCTTAACCACTGGGGGGCTGGACCCCAAAAACATTATTTTAGAGCAGCAGCTTGTAACTTTGACAGTATTTTTAGGATCCCACAGAATGATAAAATGTTTTTGAAATTCTTAAATACAATATTTCTGAAGGCAGCGCCGCTCTGCTCTGCTCTATTTCTTCGCTTGAAAGTACACTGAGTCCACTGCGCAGACTGCGGCAGTGGCTGGCGGAGTCTGTTGTATTATTGAATTTAATCAATTTAACATTTGTTAATGTTCCATGAACTTCCATACTGGTTGAATTGAAGATGAAATCATACGGAGAATTCAAAATGCCTAAATTAAAACAAATCACAGAAATACAAATTGGCACATAATACACAATATTAAGTATTTGCTCTTTATGAAGCCTATGCATCTGCTTTGTCATAACTGAATGCAAAACATATGTTGACAGGACAGTTATTTAGCTTATCATCTTCTCTTCTGGATAACGATGAAATGTAATACACATTTTCACTGTCTTCTGTTTGTGATTTGACTTTAGTGTTACATGGAAAATTCATGTCACAATGAAAAACAGTTCATTCAGTTACTAAAGACAATAAACTAATAATACTAATAATAATACTCCTTCTAATATTCAGTAAATTATGACACAGTAAATGCACACACAAAAAGGAAATACATATGTAGTTTTTCACTTCATTTCTGTGTTTAATTTGTTTTAGTTTAGGCATTTTAAATCTTCTATAAACCTGCTGCTGGAAAACGCTATATTTCAGAGGGACATATTATATTTTTTACTCCACAACAACTAACAGCTTTAATTACTAGTTGCAAATTAAGAAAATTAATCAGCAACTGCTTTATTTATTAGGCAAAATGTCAAATATTTCATATTTCCATTTCAAATATTTCCAATTCTCAAATGTGAGGATTCTTTTTTTTTTTTCTTTTTTTTTAGTTTTTTCTTGTAATTATATTATTATCATTTTAATCTAGTTTTTCATAATTTCAAAATTAGCACTTTTACTTAAGGATCTGAATATTTCTTCTACCATGTTCGTCCAGGAGCTAAACCAAGTCGGACACCACCAGGATAAAAATAAATCCATGCGGTGCCCATGAAATACAATAGTTGTTATTTGATCCCTCTGATGTGGCTGCCACGTATAGAGTTTTTTCTTTTTTCCTGCCGTGCTGTGGACTGTCCTGAGATCAGGGCTGATTTCCTTTTCTGTGCGCACAGCCTAAGCCACCATCAGTGTTTTTACCACTGGAACAAATGGTTGTGTTGAAGCCGTTCTGCTCTCCATTCACGGGGGAATATTATGAGCTTCGGCAGCGCTGGTTTCCATGGCAACGCACAGCTCAGTCTACCAAGTGCTCACAATATAGCAGGAATGTACTGGATGAGGCCACAGCATTGGATAACATTTGTCTGTTTCATCTCATTTCAGAAGGCCTGAGGAAGAACAATGTACTGTATCTGCTTTGTGCATAAAGCTGTCATTCATGTCACATCTGGGATTTTTTTTTTTTTTTTTTTTTGGGCTCTAATAGATGAATAGCTGTGAATAGAAACATAATAATCAGGGTTTTTTTAAAGCATGTTTGTTATAATGGTACTGACAATAAAGAAACAATGAAAGCCAACAATTGTTCTATTTGTTACTTTTGTTGTAGTTGTTGCATCTTTAAACTCGTTTTCTATTTTGGTTTCATGGCCCACAACTTTACTTATTGCAGCAGACAGCTTTACAGTGAAAAAGCTCTAAAAAAAAAAAAAAAAAACATTTAAAGCTACCTGCACCAAAAGGCAGATAAAGTTGCGACTAGCCGGAGAACAAGAATTATATTTAGCAACTAAAAAGCCATGTTTTTCTTAGTAAAGACCAAAAACAGAGTTAAAAGAGAGCTCACTTGCTAATTAAAGGTAACTCAGTCTTTGCTTGTTGAAAACTCTCCAGAAGCTCTTGGTTTCCAGCTGCTTTAAAACAAGGAACATGTAAA